AAAGGGATCGGCCCAGAGCAAGGCCTGAAAGCTGCCACAAGCCTAAAGCACCTTCTGGCCGGGACCCATGGAAAAGGGTCAGACATGGCCAGACAAGTCTGGGAGGAAAAAAGCAAAATCAAAATCAATATAAACAAGGCCATAGTCACCTCCCCACAGGTCTCTCACCCACATCTGCCTTCACCAGTCCAAGGCCAGGACACAAGCCCGGTGTCTCTGTCACATGCTCGCTGCTCCGTGTGGCTTCCTCAGGTCTCCTCCCCCTTCTCCATCCAGCTTCCTTTTCTTCTTCCCTCCTGATTCCTTCTCTTCTCTCCTTTATCTTTGCTCAGCTCCACTCTCCTGGGTGGGGCAAGGAACCTGGAACTTTCCCTTTTCCTAGGGACCACCCTGTTACAAAGCTATGCAACTTCTGTAGTCAGACAAGGTCCAGATGGAGAGGAAATACTTTGAAAAATCAGAATTTCCATGCTAGCTCATGTTATGAACCTCTTTTTTGTATAATCAAAATATTCCAAGCAACCATCAGTTTCCTATTGGCCTGCCTTAAGGTACTTCCTGGCTCAGGCGAGCAAGCGCTTCCCTAGGATGGAAAAGTTCTCTTAAAATCAAAAATATATAACTGGCTAATTAATAAAAACAATTATGACAAAATTAATATTGTAAGACAAGGCAGTACTAGAATAATCAGAATTCTTTTCCTGCCTGGACGAGAATCCAAATCCCATCTCTCTACTATCTTACCTAAGCCTTCTATTCAGTTTCTAAAGTACTACTTAAGTTTTCTATTGTCTAAATTTCAAATAAGGAACTTCACCTAAATTCTTTTCAACTTTAAGGAACTTTACTGTATCTCTTTGTGACTGATCTGCAAGAGAATTACTCCACCCTAGCCCAAGACCTTACTCTATCCTTCTTTGTCTCTCCACCCCGTCTCCACCCTAATCCTCGACTTTGTTTTACCCTCTAAGATGTCGTGGTAAAAATGAAGGTTGTAGAGTGACATTTTAGGTCTAAAGGAAATTTTATTTTTAGCCAACCATCACTAAAAAATGTTAGCTTTAAATTTTATGGACTTACCTTAATTTTAATAGATCAATAATGTTATAATCTTAGCTGAAGGTCAATAGGACCCCAATCTGCTCTCAGAAAAAAGATTGTGATCTCAGCCCAATTCATATGTTAATTGCTTACCTAAAGTGTACAAAAAAACTTCTGCTGAAGGCAGAACAGGAACATTTGTACCCAACTCCGACTCCTATGTCTTCCTTCCACCCGCTCCCCTTTCCCCTTTTTTTTAGGAATCTCCACTCATTGACACCGTTCCCATCTTGAGACCCTGCCTGTTCTGCCCCCCAGTAATCTGTGCTTGGGGACCAAAGAGTCTCCCCAGACAGCTAAGGTGTGGTATTGTAACAGGGGGGTCCCTAGGAAAAGGGGAAGCTCCAGGTTCCTTGCCCCACCGAGAAGGAGGGTGGAGATGAGCAGAGAAAATGGAGAAGCTGAGAAAGAGAGAGAGAAGACGAGAAGGAAGCTGGATGGAGAACAAGGAGACCTGAGGAAGCCACATGGAGCGGCGAGCATGTGACGAAGAAACCGGGCTTGTGTACTGGCCCTGGACTGGTGAAGGCAGATGTGGGTGAGAGACCCGTGGGGAGGTGACTATGGCCGTGTTTATATTGATTTTTATTGTGCTCGTTTCCTCCCAGACTTGTCTGGCCATGTCTGACCCTTTTCCATGGGTCCCGGCCAGAAGGTGCTTTAGGCTTGTGGCAGCTTTCAGGCCTTGCTCTGGGCCAATCCCTTTTGGGTTGACTTTTGCCCACGAGGGGACGGGTAACTTCAGGTGTCTGATTTAGAAATTACATTCTTTGTCTTACGTATTGTATACTCACTGTATTAAAGTCCCTTTTCATTACAGTTTTATATGTTTTGTCTTGTTGCGGCGGATGGCAGAACCCACTTAGAGCAGGCAGGTTTTGGGCTTCAGGGGTGCCCCTCTCTCCCGGTCCTGGAACAGATTTTGTCCTCTAACAGAAGCACCTAGAAGCCCTAGGACTGGTTAAAGGAGATGTGGCCACACAGTAGGGCACTTGAGCCATCAGGAGAGATGAAATTTGGTCACTTGCTACACAATGGAAAGAATTCAAGGGGAATAGGCAAAGTGCATTAGTTAGAGATGTACAGATATTGGATGATTTCACCTGTCCATGCAATACATGGAAATAAAGTGGCTGATGGGCAAAACAAAACAAAAATAACAAATAAGAAAAATGAATCAGTGGGCACTGACACCTGAACTGGTGTTGCCAGAGGTGAAGGTGGCAGGGCGATGCAAGGCTAGATAAGGGGTTAGATATAGCGGACGGTGGTGGGCTTTTTGCTTTGCTTTTCCCTGAAAGAAAAAAAGCCCCTGCTCGCCACTGTCCTTGGACATGAACAGCTGCTATATGTGAACAGTCATTCTGCATAGATAGAAATGAACTTCATTCTAAAATGAGCTATTTTGGGGCCTTCCTGGTGATGCGGGGGTTAAAGAGCCCTATCAGTATCGCCAGGCACTGCAGCTGAGGGTGATCCCCGCCAGGGAGTGACCCACAGGGCAGCAGACCCCTCCTGTCCCCCGCTGCTCCCTCAGCAGGGTATTTCACTACATCTGCCTGTTCTGCGCCCCACTCTGACTCTGGGGAGTCCTCCCAGCCCTCTGCCCTCGTACCTCTGGCTGCACCCCAGTTCTTGTACACATAAATAAATCTTTACAAAAGCGATTTTAACTAAAGCTTTGGATTTAAAAACCTGTAAAGATAATCGTTCACATGTTCTCCAAACTGTTTTCCTTTCTTTAGTTTTTTTTCTATAACAGTTTAGTTTTTAAAAAATTATTTATTTATTTGCAAAGATTTATTTTTATTTGTTTATGATTATGAGATCTGGGATACAGGCCAGAGCTGGGGGAGGGGGGAGCGCAGGGGCAGGTGAGAGGACTCACCGGAGCCAGAGCGGGGAGCAGAACGGCAGATAGACTGACACCCCCTGCTGAGGGAGCAGCGGGGGACAGGAGGGGTCTGCTGCGCCCTGGGGTCCCTCCCTGGCCGGGACTCTCACTCAGGCTGCAGTGGCTGCCAATAGCTTCCTAGCGCTGTGCTCACCCCTTGGGCCCCAGGGAGGCCCCTACTCCATTTAGTTTTTATTTTTTCACCCCCTCCCAGATGTCCCCTCCTCCCTCCCCCTCCTCCTCCTTAACCTCTGAGTCCTGGGGTGTTTACTGATGCCCTTTCTTATGGTTAGATACTGATTTCCTTTACTTTAACATCTGAAAGTCTGGCGCACCTGCTAGAAGGATGAGCCAATATTCCTGCTCAATTATTGCTGTTAAGTGCAGTTCAGGCGTTATTCTCCTCTGGGGTTAGGGCAGACCCTCCTGCTGCAGGGCTCCAGGGTGCACACCACCTCGCCTTCCCCTCTGGCTGGCTCGCAGGTGGACAGAAGCTGCTCCAACCCTGCCCACCTCGGACTTTGACCTCACTCCCACGTGGGCCCCTGGGGTCTGTCTTTCCCCATGTGCCCTCTCCAGCCCCTCTCTCAGCTGTGAAATGGAGGCATGGGATGGCTTCCATGGGGTGGGGTGGGTCATGGGGTGTGAGCGAAGTGTCTGGGTGTCACTGACTGCGGGGGTGCCCTGAAGAGCAGCGGGGGCCCTGACCGCACTGAGTGCACCACGTGTCAGTGATCATGTCCAGGGTCAGGGCCACCCCAGCCTTGCTTCACCTGTGGGGGTTCCTCACCTAGGGAGGGTGGTGGGCGACTTCTGAGGGTGCCTCTGGCTGGGACTGGCGCCGGTGCCCTAGTACTGGAGGGGGCAAGCCAGACGCGTAGCTGCAGCTAGCCAGGCTCAGGGCCTCTGCTCGGCTGGGAAGTCCAGCCTCCTGCGCCTCACCTGCCTCAGGCAGGCTGAGACGGGCCCAGACTCCCAGCTCCTGCCCGGTGGTTGGTGTCATACCCTGGGCAGTGGAAGGTCCACGGGTGTTCCACGCCCTGGCAGAGACTTCCAGGGGGCTGAGGGGAAGCTCACATCATCACCCCCTGCCCTGTGCTGGGGGGGGGGCAGGCTAGTGCCCAGCCCTCCCTTAGGCCAAGCTGGCTCAGGAATACCCTGAACCACCCCCCCAGAGCCCCCCCATTCTCCCAAGGAGAGAGGAGGGCGAGAAGATCCCAGAGAGGGTGAAAACAAGGCTCCGGGACCTCCAGGCTCCCCACAACGACTATTCCAGGTTCTCCCCAACTTCTGAGCCTCCGCAGTCGCTGCTCCCTGGCCCGTGAGCCCCGCGGCTGGCTGGGCAGGCCCGCTAGAGGTCGACGCCTGCCCTCGTGGAGGCGCTCAGACCCCTCTGCTGCAGAGTGGCCGGCGGAGTCAGGGATCCCGCCGGTGCCGGCGGTCTCCTCCCCCTGTCCACTGCTCGAGTCACGTCTGGGAGTGGCGGCAGCCAGTTTCTGCCCAGCGCTTTCGCCTTGGTCGTTCAGGAACTGGGTGGGGAAGAGGAGGGTGGCTTGCTGCGGCGAACCAGTGCTGGCGCCTCAGAGTACTGGCGCGAGGCCTCGGGTTAATCGCTATCCCCTCACCCTCGCGCGAGGGGGCCGCCGTCCGTGGGGCGGGACCGCAGGAGCTCCAGCGGGTGGGCCCGGGGAGAGCTGGCCGCAGAGGCTGGGGCGGGGCGCGCGGAGGCCCAGGACGCCCCGCGGCCGCAGCTGGAGGGTGGCAGCACCCCGGACCCACGCGGTCGCTCAGGATCGCCTCTCCCCCAGGTCACCCCGGCCCCGCCGGGAGCCACCTAGTCCGGCCCCAGGTGTGGGCGGCGCCCGCGGCCTCCCACACACCTGGCCCCGCCCCCGCCGGAGGCCACGCCTCGGCCCCCAACCTGTGGGGCCGCCGACTGCGCCGCCGGGCGGCAGGTGCCGCAGATCCCAGTCTGCGCCGCGCTCCGAGTCGCCTCCCGGCCCCACCATGGGCAACAGCGCGGGCCGCAGCGACTTCGAGTGGGTCTACACCGACCAGCCCCACACGCAGCGGCGCAAGGAGATGCTCGGTGAGGCCCCCCAGCCCCGACCCCGCTGCCGGGGGCGCAGCCCCGAGGCCGCGCTGGAGCCGCCCGCAGTCCGCGTCCAGAGTCGCTCCTGCGCGGGCGAGAGGCCCAGAGGGCTCCCCTCTCCCCCAGCAACTCGGCCCTTCGCCCCAGCGTCCGGGCACTCCCCCGCCCCGACTCAAACTCTCTCGGTGTCTCAGCCTCGGTCTGGGGTCGGGATCCGGGTGCGCCCGGGAGCGCGTCTCGGCGGCTCCTTCCAGGCTCAGGGACTCGAGCTCTCTCAGGGCGGGTACCCCGCGTCCTTCTGGGCGCCAGGGGGCGTCTGCGCGGGGTGCTCGTCCCTGAGGGCAGCTGCGCGAGCGGCCCCCTGTCCTCTCTGCAAACCCTGGGTACCTGGGTGTGGTCCTCTGGGCCTGCGGCCTCCGCAAGGCCCCCAGTCTCCCCCACCCCAATACTCAGGAGTCTGCTAAGGATGCAAAGGAGGAGCCAGAGTTCAACCCTTGTGCCCCAAACCCATCCATTCTGCCCGTCCTTCAGGGCTCCTACACAGGTGTCACCTAGTGTCACCTGAACTGTTTTTACCGGCACGGTCACCCATCCTGGACTCTCCGTTGTCCAGCTCCACAGTGGTCTCTCCCGGAAGACCCACAGGTGGAAGGCTTCAGCCAGAGAACAGCTCTTAGCAGCTGGGGCATGCGCCTCCCACCAACTCCAGTCGCCCGGCTGGGTGCACCGAGCCCCGTCCCGGGCTCACCATATCCTCAGGCGCACCGGGCTTGGCAAACCCTTACAGTCAGACTGACATTTGTCTGGCGAAGGTTGCACAGCTTAAGGGGCATTCACATTTCTTCTCTCGGGTAGGTGTTTTCGTGGTTAGAGCTCTTGGGTGACTTCTGTCTTTATTTCCCCTTTATAAATATGTCTTTTGCTGCTTTTCTTTCAGCGCTCAACTACTTGAATACAGTAGTTGTTTTGTTTTAGAGTCTCCCCTCTTGTGTCTTCCTGACCCCCAGTTTCAAATGGGGTGTGACCAGCCCCAGGTGCCCAGGCTCTCACCAAGCCTCCTGGTAGAGGCCAGACACACGCAGGCTGATGGTCACTGCTCATCAACCTCGTCTTGGGAAGCCACCGGCTGGACTTTCAGCCTGGCGCCCCTGGATGTGTTACATGGTCAGCATGAGGTTGGACCGGCTGTGGCCAGGGGCTCTGGGTGGAGACCCATGGGTGGGCTTGTGACGTTCGTGGCTTTCTCCTGTGAGGTGAGCATAACCCAGCATGGTTTGTGGTCTCCTGTGCCCATCAACTTCTGGGGCACAGGAGAGCTGCTCCCAGAGGCCTGAGTGATCACTGGGCCCCTCCCTGTACCTGCCCCAGGGAGAGGTCTTGGCTGTTCCCCACGGCAGCCTGGGCGGGGCTGCCTCCTCCCCTCCACCCCTTGCCCTTCCCCTCCCCTCACAGCCAGGGTCACCTGGCTGCAGGTAGAGAAGCTGGAAGACATTCTGGGGCGAGAGCTTGGGGGACACCCGGAGCTGCTGGGGAGGATGCAGCCCCTTTCCCAGCCTGCACAGTGGGCACAGTCCTGACCAGCACAGTGGTAGGGGATGGCACTGGACAGGTGGCGCCCAGCTCAGGGCAGGAAGCTTGTGAAGCAGGGTAGCCCGTGGCAGGAAGGCTTGCAGAGAGCGGGCGACTTGCTGAGGGCTGACTCTCGGGGAGCTTGGCCTGCCCCGGGCGGCGGGGAGCCCCGCAGCCTCCTGTCACATCCAGATCAGGCTGGTGAACTTGAAACACGTCACTGTCCCGCCCTCTGGGCACTTGCCGCCCGGGGGGTCCTCTCTGCGCCGTCCCCTTCACTCTGGGGGTCCTCGGGGCACCCTGTGGCCCCAGCCGTGGGCTCTGGCCTGGCGCAGGTTGCGGAGTTCAGTGTGGAGCTGCCCCTGGCAGCACCCTGGCATTTGCCCATTAGCCCAGGGCTCTGGGCAGGGCAGTGGGCAGATGAGGAAATGGAGGCTTGGTGTGTCGGGAGGTTAATAATAGTATGCTCCTTGCGTGCTCGTTGTGCTGATTAAATGAGGTGGTGTTATGTGCTCGCCAGACTCTGCCAGTGCCAGCTGTGACGCACCGCGGCCCGGCTCTCTGGAGGACGGCGGCCCTCTTGGCCTTCTCCTGATACCCATGCCAGTCCCAGTTCAGAAATCCTGTCTGTGCAGTGGAGGTTCAGAGGGGCCGTGAATGGCCAGAGCCGCCCAGCCTGGCGCTGCAGAGGGCAGCTGGAGCACTCCGCTACACACTCCGGCCAACTTTGGGGTTAACAGATGTTTCATAAAGATCCTAATCTCGGAGCTAGACCCAGGGGCCCTTTCAGGGCTGGTTGTGGCTGCAGGGCACGCGGCGTGGGCCAAAGTCTGGCTCAGCTCCTGCCAGGTGGGGCAGGCTCCACCGATGGACCCCAGCCCCTTGGCAGCCCGAGAGCCAGGCTCCTTGTGCTCGAGGCAGGGCCTGGCTTCTTGGGGTTCAGACTCCAGGCTGGGCTTGCCGGTGAGTAAGAGGTAGGCGTTATCTGTTCAAAAACAAAGACTTTTGTGATTTTCTTTTCACTTACGAAATCAGGGAACACACATGGTTAGAAAAATTCAAATAACCAGGGGAAAACAAAAGGGGAAAACAGAGCTCTTGGCACTGGGCTTGCTCCCTTGGAAAGGGCTGGCGGCTGGAGGGTGTGACCCAGGCCAAGGCTGTTGCCAATCTCGGCCTCGCCCGGCCTCGCCCGGCCTCGTCTGGCCCCTCCTGGCCCCTCCTGGCCCCACCCCACCCAAAGGTGCTGCTCCAGTGGGGTGCAGACCCGGCAACAGTGCCATTCTCCGCTCGCTCTCGCCCCCGCTGTGTCCTGCGGAGACTTTGGCTCCCACTGCAGGTGCCCACATGGGCCTGTGGCCCTATGTCCATCCGCTCCCCCGCCCCCAGGCCAGGGCAGCTCTGTCTGAGCCCAAGGCACTCTGGCCAGAGCCCCGGGCCTGGAATAAACCCCAGCACCACCTGCTCAGAGCAGCACACTGAGAGGGGAGGGGAGCTGTGCCCCTCCCAGGATGGGCGGGTGGGGGGTGGGGTGCACAGCAGTGCAGCCCCTGAGCTGTCCCTTAGGGTCACCCCTGGACTCCATTTGGCCTGATGGTGCCCTCTCTGCCTAGCCCTCCAGGGCCGTTTGCTGGCACCCTGTGAGGCCACACTTCCCTTTTTCTGTGCGTGCCTGGCACCTGTTCCCCAGGCGGTCTTTCCCTCAGCTGGTGGGTTTTCTCCCGGACGGTGCTCCAAGTGGCCACGTGCTCGCCCCACGCCCCAGCAGCGTGCCAGCCTGTCTTTGGCCTTTGCACCGGGACGCTTTCTCCCTTCACCCAGCAAGTTGCGACATGCGATGCTCTGCAGGCCGCCCCGGGACCAGGGCCGCTGCCGCCTGCGCCCCCAGCCTGCTCAGATGCCCCCCACACGTGCTGGGTCTGCCACCGCCTGCCTTCACCCCATCTTCCGTAACTCACGGCCTCCAGGAGGTGCACGCTACATGCCATACAGCGCTCTATTCTAAAGGCCCAGCCAGGAGAGTTCCATAGTGTTGCACAATCCAGCGCGCTTCCAGTTGAGTGTCCCGGCCGCGATGGCCCCTGGCACCCTCTCCCTGGACTAGCCTCGCCCCGCTGCAAGGGCTGTCTCCACCCTGCCCAGCCTGGGAACCTCTCCGTCTCTGATCCTGGGACCTTGAGCAAATATTTGCCTGTGAGCAGCAAGCAGGTTTAGCGAGTGGTGGTGGGAGGCGGAGAGCTGGTCCTGGGGAGAGCGGGAGGAAGAGGCGTGAGAAGGAGCGTGAGGGGCTCTGTGGCCAGGGCCAGCCGTGTGGAAGCTTGTCCAGGCACAGTTACTCGACCGTGGGGCGAGGGGAAGGAGCAGCTGCTCGCACAGAGCAGCTCGTGGCAGACAAGGCCGAGGGCCAGCCAGAGCAGGGCCCAGCTGGAGCTGACCTATAAGGTGGGCTGTTTGGGGGGGCATGGGGTGCTGAAAGGTCACGACAGGCCCCACCAGCTGCAGCCTGTGCAGAGTGGCCCTCCCCCAGATCCCCAACACGCTGTTGGGGCATTCAGAGTGGCCGTGCTGCCAGGATGGGTCCCAGGGGTCTCCTCCAAAGGCCTGGGGTCCCCTGCTGCCCTGGAGTCTGCCGGGACTCAGCCTCTTGGCATCCTTCAGTCATGACCCACGGGGACCCGCCGTGATGTTTCCTGCTCTGTCACAGCCCTGGGGCCTGGCCTCCCTGGCCCCTCCTGCCCCCAGGGTGGTCCAGAGGCAGATCTGGGGTCCCTGCGGTCCCCCGGTTGTTCACGTGTGGCCTGCATCTAGGGGCCTCACACGGCAGCCTCAATTTTAGTTGCTTCCAGCAGGGCCAGGCCGGTAGCTCTCAGAACCTGGACCGCCTGTCCTCAGGGGTCAGAGCTAGGGGCAGGGATGGGGCAGACCAGCCCCCAGACCAGCGTCCTCGGCCCAGAGGCTAGGAAGAGGGTTTTGACTTTTAGATCAGGAAACTGCATAGTAACAAGGTCAGCTCATGTTGGTCAAGCACTTGCATCCCCAGGCCAGAGCCTTCACCCCCACTTCCCAGGCGCTGGGGGCCTCTGGCCCACTAGGTCAGCCTGGGGAGGGCTGGGGACCCGGCGCCCAGGCTCCGTGGCGGCCTCTCCAGAGCTGCGGGCAGCTGAGCGCTTGAGAAGATGGCAGGAAAAGGAAGGGGGTTCCTGACGGGCCAGGCAGGGTGGGCGGGACAGGGACCCCATGGTCCCCTAAACCCTGCCTGTGGGGGGCACTTACTGCTTTTGTCTAGTGCAGACTCGAGGCCACCACCCACTTCACAACCACTGGGCTCTGCCTGCCCTTGGCTCCAAGGGCCATGGAGTGGGGATCCTGGCCCCAGTCTGCTCACCTGGCGCAGGTGCGGCTGCCCGACTGTACCTCAGACTTGGCCTCCTTCCAAGAGGAAGTGAGGGGACCGCCCACCCCGAGGAGGCCTCTGGCCATCTGGGCCCCAGCAGGTGAACCGACCGCTATCCTGGGAGTCGGAGGGGCGGGCTGGTGCCACAGCAACCTGGGTCGGAGGCACCCCACAGGTGGGCGCCCCAGAGTAACCCCCATGCACGAAGGCCCGGACTTTGCATGTGATTTCCCTGGAGCCTCGCCCTGGTCACCAGGTGGCCAGTCCTTCCGTCCCAGCCCGTGGCCCTGCCGGCCTGCGCCGGCCCTGCCTGCTGGCAGCACCCACCCTCTGGCGTGTCCCCACCCACCTGACCCCTCTGGGGATGGGGACAAGTGGGGACGAAGCCTGCCCCCTTGCTGGATGGGGGTCTCATGCAGAGACCCCCGTCGCCAGGCCTGGGGCCTCCTCCGCCACCCCATGCTGGCCTCTGCCTCAGGGGAGGCAGGAGCAGGGTCCTGGGCCATGTGGCCGGTGGAGGGAAGCGGGAGGATGGAGCGGTGGGGCCGGCAGGGTTACCGAGCCTCCCCTGCTGTGCTTCCTGGGGCTGGAGCTTCAAACAACACCCTTGTTGCCAGACAGCTTATGGGCCAGAGCCTGCTCGTCTCCCAGGCTGGTGCCCGGGGTGGGCAGGCTGCTCCTTCTGGAGGCCTTTGCCTGCTCGCTTGTCCTCCAGCCAGCCTGACCGGTGGGGTCCCAGGTTCACCCCTCCACCTGCTCTGCCTCTGAGCACCCAGAGAGCTGTGGGTTACACCGGGCTTGGGTTGGTCAAGGTGCCCTTGAGTCTGGTCATCTGACCTTGGCCTGAGTGCCAGGTGCTGCCTCAGTTCCCTGGCCGCCATCTGACCCCCTTCGTGGGTCATGGGATCAGGGTTTGGACATGGGGGGGTGCTGTGACCCAGCCCCCGCGGGTGCCAGTCTCTCTCCAGCCTGTGAACTACACCCTGCCCTGCGCGTGCCTGCAGCCCAGGGCGCTGCTCCCCCGGAAGTCAGCGGACGGGTCGCCTCCACGAGGCAGGCAGGGCCCCAGCAGTGCCACAGGCCACGCAGGCATGCTCAGCCGGCCCCTCGGTGTCGCCATCACGCCCGGCCTGGGTGTGCACGGCTGGAGCCTGCCTCCCTGGCCCGGCACCTTCCGGCAGAGGCAGGCCCACGTGGCTGCCCAGGCCGGCCGGCTGTGGGCACCTGCGCCTTATCTGTGCATCTCCTCCTGGTTCAGAGCCAGAGCCTGAGGGCTGAGCCCATTTGCCCAGAACGGGGATTTCAAAAAATTGTTCTTAGGTGGTGAAAGACATTTAACATCTGTGTGCACCACTGGTGAGTGTGGTTCGTGCAGCGGCCATCACCAGTGTTGGGCAGCCACCACCAGCATTTCTAGAACATTCCACCTTGTAAACAGAAACTCTGCACCCCATTCTGGCCTTCCCGATCCCCTCACCACCTGCCCTCAGACCCCTGTAATCTCTACTCTCCATCCCCATGAACTAGCCTATTCCAGATGTTTCTTATCCAAAAAATCCTACTCCACGTGGGGGCCAGGCCCACCCAGCAGACGCTGTCCAGGGTCAGCCACGCGGCAGCAGGGCCAGTGTCCACTCCTCTTTACCACCAAGTAGCATTCCACGGTACTCACACACCCCTCCATCCGTGCACAGGGGTCACTCCTAGCACGTGGCTGTGTGGGTAGAGCTGTGAAGTGGGGGGACGAGTGTTTGTTTCCTTGATATAAATTCGCTGGAGGGCTTATTGAGGGGGGCATTGCTGGGTCTGCTGGTGAGTATGATGAACGTTTGGAGGAGCCCCAAATTGTCTCCCACAGTGGCCGGCCTGTTCTGCTGTGCACCAGCGACCGTGAGACGGTTCCAGTTTCCCGGGGCTGCCTGGCCCTCGGCCGTCCCTGGATTGGAATCTCGCCCTCGAGTGGGTCTGAATCGAGTGCCTTGGTGGTTTCTTCTGCTCGGCCCTCGTCCTGGCGTGGTGTGGGCTCTCTCCTGGGCTCATGTCCCTGCACGCGTTTTGGGAGGACTGTCTGTTCAAATCCTTGGCAGGCCTTTAAACTGATTGCCTTTTTGTGGTTGAGTTGGAGGGGCGACGTCCACCTCTGGAGAGTGACCCTTCTCCAGAGCTGCGTGAAGCCACCCTGCCTCCTCCCGCGCCCAGGGATACCATGGCCTGGGGCCCCTGTTGAGTGACACTGGGGTTCTGGGCCCCAGGCACCGCCCCTCCGACTGGGGCAGGCCCCTTTTCCCACCTTGTCCTTGTCTGCACCCCATCTGTGGCAGTCCGGGGCTGGGCCGCTCTGACCAGCTGAGTCACAGCTTGGGCTCTGGCCTGCCCCGGGGTACAGGGTGGCTGATGGCGGGTGCCTGCAGGGTGCTGGCCAGCTTGCTCCTGGCCCATCCCTTGGGACCGGCCTCTGCGGCTGGCCTGGAGATGGGGCCCAAGGATGACCGGCTGCCTGTTGGGCATGAAGTAGACACTGAAGGCCAAGCCCCAGCCCTCACTGACCTCAGTTTCCCATATGCACCCTGAGGGTCTTTCTGCTCTTGACTGGGAGCCAGGGCAGGGCAGTCCCGGGACAGGTGCACCCGGAGCCGAGACCCCTGGGGGGTCTCCTGCTCTGGCACAGCTTCCCTGCCAGCTCCTCTGCTGGCCGCCCAGCAGCCCCGCCAGCGCCTCCCCCACCCCACCCCCACCTCCTGCTTGGCCCACTCCCCTTGCTTTTTCCTTTTCTGTAAAACAAAATCCAGCACAAAAAGTACTAAAAGTACAAAAGATAATAAACACCCCCACTCCAAATAAATTCAACATTTGACCCGGCTTCCTCAGGCCTTAAAAGAACAAGCAGTGGACACAAAGCCAGAGCCCCGGCCAGCCCTTGCCACCCCGCCCCCGCGGACATTCCGGATGGAAGGGGGTGTCCAGCCCCACTCACCCCTCGGGCTGCACCCAGTCACCAGGACACAGCAGCGTGTGTGTCCAGGCCGGCTGCCCGGCTGCGGGGACCCGACCCCTGCCCACGGCGGCTGTGTTCCCGCCCCGTCCCCATGCCCCCCCACCCCCGCACCCCGCACCCCACCAGCCGGCCCGTTTACCAGGGTCGGCGTTCCGGCGGGCGGACTTCCTGGAAGTGGGAGGTTTGCTTAGAACTCGCGCCAAAGGGGGTCCCGTCGCAGTGATGAGAGCCCCGGTCTAGGGGCAGCCAGAGAGGAAGGTGCAGAAGCTGTCGCAAAGCCCAGGAAACCGGCTGCTGGGGGGGGCGCCGAGCCCCGTGCGGGCGGTGGCGTGTCCACCCGGCCCCCTTAGCCGAGGCCGCTCAGCCAGGCCGCGCCTCTCGGCCTCCTACAGAATGGCCGAGCGGGAGCCCGGGGCGCTGCGCGGCCTCCTCAGGCTTCAGGCGCGGCTGCGGCCGCGAATCTCCACTCCTGCCTGCGCTCGGGCGCGGTCTCGCTCTCTGCGGCTTCTGCGCCCTGCGCGCGGCGGCGGCCGTGCGGGTGTCTCGGCCCAGGCGCGTCCACTCCGCAGCCTGCGCCCGCGCCGGCGCCCACCAGGCGCTGGGGCCTGCACAGGTGTGGGCCTTGGACACCAATGGCGGAGGGCGGAAAAGCCTGAGTTTCCACACACCCTACAGGCCGCTTTTTAAAGATTTATTTTATTGATTTGTGCATGCAAGAGCTGGGTGCAGGGGGAGAGGGCGCCCCAGAGACAGAGCGGGGAGCAGAAGAGGTGGATCCACTGAACCCCCTGCTGAGGGAGCAGCCGGGGACAGGAGGGGTCTGCTGCGCCCTGGGGTCCCTCCCTGGCCGGGGATCGCTCTCAGGTCGCAGGGGCCGCGCCAGGGTCACGGCTCTGAGACGACCCCCGCGCCCCCGGGGAGGCCCGCAAGCGGCCGCTATTCAGTGGAAACTTAGAGCGCCCCTCACGGCTGCCCCACTGCCCCTCGGGCAGTACCCCTAGGCCCCAGCGGTTCTAGGGGCCAGGACCTGCACCAGGTCTTGGGGATCCATTGAGGGCCAGTTTCTCTCCAGGTCCAGGGTTAGGGAGGGTGGACGGTGGCAGGAAAGTGGGAGGCAGGGTGGGGGTGCAGGGTGCCTCTGCCCGCACCTGTGCGGACCCGCTCACGCCTCTCCTGTCCCCCGCAGCCAAGTACCCGGCCATCAAGGCGCTGATGCGGCCCGACCCGCGGCTCAAGTGGACGGTGCTGGGGCTGGTGCTGGTGCAGCTGGGCGCCTGCTGGCTGGTGCAGGGGCTGGCCTGGCGCTGGCTGTTCTTCTGGGCCTACGCCTTCGGGGGCTGCGTGAACCACTCGCTGACGCTGGCCATCCACGACATCTCCCACAACACGGCCTTCGGCACGGGCCGCGCCACGCACAACCGCTGGTTTGCTGTCTTCGCCAACCTGCCGGTGGGCTTGCCCTACGCCGCCTCCTTCAAGAAGTACCACGTGGACCACCACCGCTACCTGGGCGGCGACGGGCTGGACGTGGACGTGCCCACGCGCCTGGAGGGCTGGCTCTTCTGCACGCCGGCGCGCAAGCTGCTCTGGCTGGCCCTGCAGCCCTTCTTCTATTCGCTGCGGCCACTCTGCGTGAACCCCAAGGCCCTGACCCGCATGGAGGTGCTCAACGCCCTGGTGCAGCTGGCCGCCGACGCCGCCATCTTCGCCCTGTGGGGGCTCAAGCCCGTGGTCTACCTGCTGGCCAGCTCCCTGCTGGGCCTGGGCCTGCACCCCATCTCGGGACACTTTGTGGCCGAGCACTACATGTTCCTGAAGGGCCACGAGACCTACTCCTACTACGGGCCCCTCAACTGGATCACCTTCAACGTGGGCTACCACATGGAGCACCATGACTTCCCCAGCATCCCCGGCTGCAACCTGCCCCTGGTAGGTGGGCCGGGGCGCAGGCGGCTGGGGGCAGCGGGCGAGGAGCGGGGGCCTCCTTGACCTCCCCGGCTGGCCACACTCTCAGGGGCGGCCCCCAGGAGGCCGGCCACCGCGACAGACATGCGCTGGCTGGAGCAGGGGTGAGTTCAGGGAGTGCGGGGCCTGGAGGCCTGGCACTGCCCGCTCTGGGCTTCAACTGCTGTCTGCAGAGCGGGCAGTGGTGGTGGCACGGCGTGTGTGGCTGGGAGGTGCCCTGCACTCACTGCCCTGTGGCCCTCCGAGGCTGCCTCACGCACACGGGGCAGGGTGGACCTTTCCCTTTGTGACCCAGGGCGCCAGCCTCCGGGCTGGCCCTCTGCCTGGGAAGAACTGAAGTTTGGGAGAGAAGAGGGTGGTGGAGGGGGACAGGATGCGGGTGTGATGGGTGGGGAGGAGGGGAGAGCAGAGCGTGGAGATGAGGACGATGGCAGGATGGCGGGAGCAGCGAGGCAGCCCAGGCCCCTCGCGGGCGAGGACGCGCCGGGAGGCCCCCTCGCCACCGCGCCTGCCCGGCGGGCGCTGCAGAGGCTGCGTGTGAGCCCGGGCCGGCCTGCAGCGCCTGGGCCACCGGGGCTTGCAGCCCTGCCGTGCAGCCCTCTGCGCCCCTCTGTGCCGGCATCGTCGCTCGGGCGCTGGACTTGAGCCCGCCGCCCCCCAAGCAGCCGTGGGCTCTCTGCCGGTGCCCAGCGGCCACCTGAGTCCCCCGGTTCCTGGCTGTGGCTATAAGCAGGCCGGGGCCTTGGGCCTCCGGGGGGTGGCCGCGCCGGTGAGGCCCAAGCAGGACGGAGTGAGACCCCGCGCACAGGGGCTTCTGGAGCAGAGGCTGGAGGCGGGGTTCTGGGCGGGGCGCCAGGTGGCTTTGGCTGTCTCCACGGGGCTGAGCCCCCTGGAGCCTCGGGCTCAGTGTGGGCCCAGCGCCCTGTGCCTCCGGGCCACCTGGCCTCCCGCCTGGCACGTGGGGTATTCGTTGTCCCTGGGGGTGACTGTGCGTGCAGCTCATGCTCGTGCATACGTGTGCATCTCCTGCGCACGTGTGCGCTCTCACCCAGCACACATCTGTGCACACGCCCACCCTGGTTGCGTCTGTGTGGACACCGAGTCTCTGTAGTGCGTGCACGTGTTCTCCTGTATGTGGACATGAGCACATGTATGTATGTGTGGGGCGGGGGCGCGTGCAGGGTGCGTGGCCGTGCGTGGGGCAGGGCACGTGCAGGGCGTGGCCATGTGTG